GTCTTACAGGGATTTGGTTTGACATCCTTTCGGGCATCGGCAAGTTCTCTGTTATCATCAACGTAAGTGCTTGCTTTCATGACACCCTCGCTCTGTGGGAGGGGCTTTCCAGGGGAGCTGAGGTCCTCAGGGCAGGAAACCTGTCCTGTTACCTCCCAGCCTCTTCCACGTGGAGCTCTGTTTAAGACAGCGCCCGGCGCCCACCCACTCCCCAGCCCTCGTTAATATCGCGTACACGCCTTCTAAGTCATCAGGCTGTTGCTGGAGGTGTGCAGCTTTGTCGTTCATTTCGCTAAGAGCAAGAAAGGCAATTACCCACCAGAATGCGAACCTTGGCCTTAAAAGAGTCCAGATCAGATCTTTCCTCGGAGCCAAGAATCATGAGGAAAGAATTGCACATATCTAGCCATCTCTTTCCTTTCTTTTTCTACCCTGGAGCTGAACAATACCTGGATCATCGCCCAGGCTGCAGTTCCTAATTACCGTTTCTCCAAGCTGTCAATGTAAAGTCTTAATTATCCCTGGCGCTGCTTGGTTAAGATAGGGCATATGGAAGAAGAGGGCTCCTGTCTGCTCTGACCTCCTTAACTGCCTTGCCAGATGTGTCCACGTTTCAGAGGAAATCCTGCTGGGCCCAAGCCAGCAGCTCCTTTGGCGTCTGCGTTCCATACGGTTGGTGGTCAGGCAGGGCCTCCTCTTCCATCTCCCGAGACAATATCTGCCAGCTCAGCGCACATCAAGAAAAAGCCACAGCCCCCTTCCCCTTGGGAGAGAAACACTGATTCTGGCCGTGACCTGGCTACCGAATAAAAACACATGAGGTGGCACGAGGTGTGCAGAGAGGCAGAGGGGATCAGCCCGTCACACGTGGGATGTTTGATGTAGGAAGTGCCCGTCTCAAGGCTGAGAAGCTAGGTGCTGTTCGATCAGTAGCTACTTTGGAGTTGTGTCTTCTAGAACAGAGCCCCTGAGTACCAAACACTTTTCATCTACAACAGAATGACAGGATGTTTTGCTTCCTTGGCCGTTCTAAGACTTCTTATCTGTAAGAAATGGGAGAGAATAAGAGTCTCATCAAATCGGATCAGTCTGGAAATTAAATGGGGTGGTGAAAGGACGTATGGCCCGTGCTCCATTAATTACAGCTGTGATTATTAGAAGTCCGTTACTCACTCTCAGATATGGTTATGGCCATGCACACTCGTATATACATTTAGAAAACAATACCTAAACTGCATTTTTAAAAAGGGCTTTTAATTGTCGGTGCCGAGGACAGTATAAACACCTGCCAAAAAGATTTAAGATTTTCTTTGCAGGAAGTCCCTCCTCATCCGAACAGGCAGTCGTTCATTTGTCGTTTGGTTTGCTCCACAGACATTTATAGAGAGCTTAGATACGTCAGGCGCCACGTCGGGTGTGTGTGTTTCATCCAGCAGGACCTCCTCCTTCCCTCTCCATGTCTCACTTTTTCTAAGCAAAATGGATGAAAGAGCGACTTCCATTGTATGATGGGCTAAAAAGCGCTGAGAGATGATGGTCAAACTGAGGTTCACCGTGGAACCATATCCTTGGTGTTCCTGGCTTTCTCGTGTCCCTCAGGGGCAGATGTATTCAATATATGGCCATTTGGTATCCTTGCCTGTCACGCTTAAGTGGCCGTCTCACCACTATCAGTAACTTTCTCAGAAAATCTTCCACTCTACTTTGGCATGGCCAATGCAGCATCAATTCAGGTATCTCAGAGAGATGATTCATGCCCTCCCTCACCAAATGGTCCAAACTGGCTTAGCATCCTTTGCTTCGGTGGTTGTAATTCACTCTCTTGACAGCCACTGGCTTGTGGGTTTCCTTATATGTATCAAAGATGGAAAAGCCAGGTAAGTCAGTGTTGTGAGCTCAGGGACAAGAACTCTGTATCAATCAGAGCAGTGCCTCTGGATGGAGAGCCCAGGAGGGGACAGTCTCTTAGGCAGATGGACCTGCGTCACCGGCATGGTGTCCATCCTGACAGTCCCTCGGGTGCTTGTGGTTCTACCCCCAGGCTTTTGTCATCGCGATCACCTCTGACTTCATTCCCCGCCTGGTGTATCAGTACTCCTACAGTCACAACGGGACTGTGCATGGCTTTGTCAACCACACCCTCTCCTTTTTCAACGTCAGCCAGCTGAAGGAGGGAACGCAGCCCGAGAACTCACAGTTTGACCAGGAGGTTCAGTTCTGCAGGTAAAGTAATCGGGTGCAGGAGGGCAGCAAAGGGCTAGAAGCAGCAGGTCCAAGTAATTATCCGGACGACTTAGAATTGCATCATTATTCTCCTTCGCTTCTGTCTCCTACCCCCAAAGCCCAGATCCCTACAAGTCAGTTTCAGTGAATTGACCAATATTTATTGAGTGCCTTTTGCTAGACACCATGGAGCAGATAAAAAAAGTATATAGGTTCGTCCTTACCATCAAGGGAAGGTCTGGTTTATGGTCTGGTTGGGAAGAAGACAGAACTGGTAGGACACTGCACGTTATTCAGGGATTATGTCTAGGCTGGGCCACGGGCCTTAAGAGCGTTCGAAGGAGAACAGTGAGGGCTGGAATGGAAAAGGGTGGAGGCTTCTTGGAGGGGCCACGAGGAGCTGTAGGGCAGAACGCGAGAGTATCCTGGGTATGGAGTCGGCCTGGGCCAGGTCATGCGGACGAATCTGAGGTGTTAAACACTTAGGGGCCAGTTGCTGGAGTCGGCAGGGAGAGTGCTTGGGAGATAATAATAGGGAATAATACAGGAAACACAATATAGAGAGCAACTCCTAGGGTAGTATAAGCCAAAGCGTTGTTGAATTTGAGTCGGTAGGATGAAATAGATAATGGGACATCTCGAAGTCTTGCAGGAATTTTAATGTGATGCAATAGAAAGTTACGGACCTTTTTGGGGCCGGGGAATTATAGGCTGAAGTGCGGGCTTAGGAAAACTAATCCGGTCTCAGAGAGGAAGATGGGCGAGAATTGGGCTGACTCAAGGAGGGCAGCTGAGGGGCTACATCATTCAGACACGACCGGTGGTAGGCATGGACCAGAGAGGTGGAAGTAATTCAGAGGGAGGGCGAAGGTGGGCTACTTAATGTCATACGTTACAGCACTGGGTACCAGAGACACGAGAGAGAGAGTGTGAATCAAGGGTAACTCCAAAGTTTGGGCTGAAGCCAGAGGACTGGGAAATTGTGGGTCCATTGACAGGGATGGGGAAGATGCCAAGAGAATCTAATTTATAATAAATCAGATGAATTTGATTCCGATCATGTTGCATTTAAAATGATGGTCGGAAATCTAAGGGGCAGTTTCCATCTAACACCTAGAGGGAATTGCTGGAATTCCTGAGAGGACCAACTTAGAGTCATGATTGTAATTTGTCAGCACAGGGATCATTGAAGCTGAGAAACAGAAAGCTCTCCACTACTTACCAGAGAAGGACAAAGAAAGAGAAAAAGAGCAGAGGGGAATAAATTCTTTAACTCTTTTGTACCTTGGTTAAGTGGTTGTCCCCATAAAGGACTCGATCCAAGATCACACCCCATATATTTAAACAGAACAATAACTACAACAAACCCCAAACCTAGAAAAAGGTATCAGAGGACACACGTAGGGCTTTCTTGGACCATCCCCAAGAGTGTCTGATGTAAAAGCCATTAGTGCCCCATTGAAGAAGCAGCAGCAGTGCCCTGGTTGTGTTTTTGCAGCAGTGATGACCCTGGGCGTGTCTGTCATGCTTTCCCACCTGGGATGCCTTGGTACCCAAGGTCAGACGTTTGTAAGATGGCTGCTTAGGTTCAGACTCAGTCTGAACCACAAAAGGGAGAAAACGAATTGGTCCTCCCAACCCAGATGACGTGAGTTAAAGAACCTTCCCAATACGTGATTTAAATAGAAGGGTATTCTGGTCCCAGGAGCAGTAACTTTAGAGCCAACCAGAAAGGCTCAAAGTCAGGGACCAGATCTAAGAATAGATAAGTCCATTTATTCACAGATACTGATTCATATAGCCTAGATGTTTCTAGCATTTTCACATCTGGGACTATAACAAGTCTTAACTCGAGCAGGCAGATTTGGCTACTACCCTGCATTGCCCAGGGGCCACTGCCGGCGTGCCAGACTGTCTGTCCATGGTGCTGGATTTGGGTCTGCAGATCCGCTGTACAGTGGGGTCTGGACCAGCTGGTGGCCTTTTCTGGTAGCATTTAGATTTGCTCCAGCAGGGCACGTGAAGTCAGTCAGCACCTTCGCGTTAAACGAACGGGCACTGAAAAGTGAGGACAAAATCATCTTTGTAACTGGAAGGTACAGAAATCATCTTGTTGAAAAAAGAAACCAAGGCTTGGAAAGTTGAAGGGTTTTCCAAGATCACAGAGGTTTCTAGCAACAGATCCGGAAGCAAGACTCACGTCTCTCCAGGAGCACAAGCTTCAACGCCCACGCTCGAGGGGCAGCAGCAAGAATGTGACTTGTCATGTGGGGAAGCAAGGCTAACGCTGTTCCTTCAGTTGGTCCAGAAGCACAAGTCTCACCAGAGCACCAAGGGACTCTGACCTTGTCCTTGACCATCACATCTTCCAGTGACACTAGGAATGTGCTTTCCAGATATATCAGTGGCTTACACAGGCTTAAGCATAAAGGGACTTTAATGCCTCTCTTATTGAAAGTCGAGGGTAGTTCTAGTTGGGTAGATTTGATTCAATCTGCCCAAACAAAATCTTTCTCCATCTTGCAACCCTACTGTCGTCAGTGCTGACTGTAGTTTCAAACACTGGATGACTGCCAGCAGCTACAGGCCAGTATCATACTGTGTCCGAGTCCAGAGGGAAGAAAAGCCTATGCTTCTTTCCCAACAACCTCAACAAAAGTCCTGCTGCCGCTTGTTGGCTGGGATCAGTACGCACTTCCTACCCAGAGCAGATCGCCGTGGCCAGAAGAATGTGATGCTTTCCGTGGTCTTTGGGGCCGTGGGGTTAGGGGTAGGAAGTGAAATTATCTCCATCTGAAGCACGTGATCTCAGACTAGGGGGTAGTTCCCTCCTCTGAGATCTGAAGTCAAGATGAACGGATGCAACTCAACCAAAACAACGGGTGCCCAGGAGACCAGGTGTTATTAGCACACACGGGTCACATCGAGCTTTGCTGTATCTACCGTCAGAGTCACTGGACTTTCCAGCCAGCTGTGAAGCCCTGATAACTCTTCCCTCCATTGTTTCCAGGAAAGCAGATGGGATCGTGGCTCATCTGTGGCCTACTAAGTGGCGGAATTAACACTGGGTGCGTGTGCAGGAAGTGCATGCTGTATTTCTGTCAAGAAAAATGTACCTGCAGAAAATAGATCATTCAGGAATCAAACCAGAAGGGTTTCTGGCGTGTCCACCATTGTTTCTTTACTCCGTACCAGTGGGGATCGTAGGTTCATTGTGCATCTATTTTTGAGGCGTTACTATAGGCTTGGCATTGGTTATATAAGAGGGAACAAGACGCACTGCCTCCCTCGAGGAGTCTAGCTGCACAGGCGAGATGAGCACACACACAAGCAATGAGAACAGAGCTTCCGTACGTGCAGTCGGGCAACTGCAGGGAGCTCTCAGAGCCTTGAAGGAGGAGGCCATTCACCTGACCCAGACCTAAGTGTCCAGTGCCAGAGTGGCCAGAAGGAGAACCTGTTGAAACTGCTCACTCACGGGACCAAGCCAGCCTGGGTGGGAGGGGTCTGTCAGGTGGTGACAGAGGTCCAGGGAGAACAGGGTGTCCCAGGTAGAGGGGCTAGATCATGCTCAGTGGTCAGAGCTGGAATGAGAGGCGTGAGCTAAGGGAGGTGAGGCGGGGAGAAAAACAGAAGCCAGACCAGGAAGAGCACGTTGGTCACGGGGGGTGTGTGTGGACTCACCTTAGGGCACTGGGAGCCACGGTGGGGGATGGAAGGGACTTCTCACTGGTATCATCTCTGACTGCGCTGTGGAGACCAGTGGGTTACATTGAAAATAAAGAGCTGCCCGGGCTTCCCTGGTGGCGCAGTGGTTGAGAATCCGCCTGCCAATGCAGGGGACACGGGTTCGAGCCCTGGTCTGGGAGGATCCCACATGCCGCAGAGCAACTGGGCCCGTGAGCCACAGCTACTGAGCCTGCATGTCCGGAGCCTGTGCTCCGCAACGTGAGAGGCCGCGACAGTGAGAGGCCCGCGCACCGCGATGAAGAGTGGCCCCCGCTCGCCACAACTAGAGAAAGCCCTCGCGCAGAAACGAAGACCCAACACAGCAAAAATAAATAAATCAATTAATAAACTCCTACCCCCAACATCTAAAAAAAAAAAAAAAAAGGCTGCCCTAGTTTGAAATGTAAGCAGATGTCTGGGGAGCGGGGTCATCGAATCATCTAGATGTGCCTTCTCAAGTGGGTATACTTTGGGGGGCTACCTTTCCTAGGTGGATGAGGATTGCTGATGAAAATCTCTACCTACCCCAGGTAGGTTCTACTCACCGCATGCCGTGTGGACCTGTCTGGCTCACCGTAGTCTCTGGAGGTTGATGAAGTGGAGGCATAAACTACTGATGTCTTTGTAAGCCAGGATTTGTCAGCAGCTGTCAGAAATAGAAATGAAGGGGGTGGGGGATGGAGGGGGCTGGGGGGAGAGAGAGAGAGAGAGATTGATTATGAGAAACACAGACAACGCTAGAACTAGCCCCAAAGCCCACGTTTAGAACCGCTCCCGTGATGGGAAATGAAAAGTTTGTCCTGATTTTCTGGCAAATAGTGTTGGGAACTCGATGACCCTTCTTATTCTTAGCTCTCCGTGACCCCCGGAGATAAATGTGGTCAAATAAAACTGAGGTCTCCGGCTCCAGTCCGGCCTCGCCAGGGATAGAGGTATCTTAAAAATAGCAATAAAATTTAGGACAAGTCTCCGGCTGCCCATTTGAGATGCATTCCCAGCATTTTTGGAGCCACGTCTGCCTCAGCCATCTAACTGCCCCGGCCGGGCTGCTCCGTAAACAGCCCCGTGACGTCAGTCTGCAGACTTGATGAGTGGTCATTTGACAGGGTCAAGGGACCACTGTATCCTACAGGCTGGATGGTGACTCAAGCTCCTGGCTCAGCGGAGTGGAGCAGAGAGGTCAGTAGGGCAGGACCTGGCCAGGGACCCGGGTCTGAGAGCTCAAGGAGCCCACCTGGGCTTGGGCAACCCACTGGGTCTGTTTAGAGATG